TCAGAGTTTTCCCCTTAAATAAGAAGTAATCTGCTAAGACACACATGGGTGTATTGTAGCAGAGTTCTTTGTCAAGAAACAGAAAGGATTAGGGAAAATGATAACAAGAAAAAAATACCATTATTTTTATTGGCCAAGCAGTCTCCTATTACAGCAAAATACTCATCTGGCTCATGCTCTGCTGTTGCTTTTCTTATACCTCTGAGTGAGAACCATCTTTTATATTCTCTTGTTGTGCAAGAAAAAGGGAGTTATCATTGAAATGGAATGGCAGTAGATTTAAAGCAATAAAAGAAAGTATTATTCATGGAATACCTAATGATTCTAGTAGATCTCATTGTTGTGTAATATTAGTCCTATCCTGTGTCTGAAATTGGGTGGTTAAATATTTTGATGATCATTAATAATAGTTTGAGTAAAGAAAGTAGAAATGAACATTTAGGATATACCCATTTCATGCTTCAAGTCATAAGCCAGTGAAAAGGGTTTGATGCTCCCCAGCATCTTTAGCATGGCTTTGTGGCTTTACATTTTGTGTGCCTTCTATGCCACAGTTAATGCTTCCTGAGAGCTGGAGAGCAGAGGTGCCTGTGTCAGTGTTTCACCTCAGAGCAGAAGTGCAGTTTGGAAGAAATTTTCCTGATTGTCATCACTTACCATGGTTCACACGTGGAGCAGTCTTGCAGCAAATGAACTGAGTTCCTTTTAGATTAAACTTAATTGAAAGTTAACTCTGCAGCTACTAATGGGCATTCAGTCCACAGGAGCAGGCTGTAAACAACTAAAACTGCTTTTTAGTTATTACTAGCTGTTTGTTACCTGGGACCACCAGAGAAATTGGGATTTTTTTTTTTTTTCTTTATGTAATACAACATAAGAACATTCAGACCATGTGGCCCAGCACCCAGTCCATGACTGTGTGCAGTAATATAAGCTTAAGGATGAATGCAGAGTGATCTTTTCTTCATATACTTCCAGTTACCAGTGACTTAGGGATTTTCCAAGACTAAGAATGTGTCTGGACCATCATGCTAAAAAGACACTTTATTTCTTTCTGCTTTCTGTGTTGTCCAAAGCAGTGTGTCCTCTATACGCATGTGATGTGCAAATGCAGTGTCTTATCTCTTTCTGTTACTGATCCCTTTAAAGACCTGTGGATTGATGCAGAGCTGTAGGTTTTCCCTGCATATAATGGCAGGACTGAAATTTCTAGTAGTTGAAAGGCAATTCTAGTTCTTTGTTATTTTAGCAGAGATCACCATCTGAGTGCTTCTGTTGCTATTTGTACTTGACTTGTAATAATAGATGGCTCTCCTGCAGGAATGTTGCATTGGAATGTCTCTGAGAGCATTAAAAAGAGAGTAAATATCATAGGAAAATATGTGCAAAAATAAATTATTAGTAGCCCTAACACTGATGTGAAAATACTCTTTAATAAGTGGATTTGAGAACATAACCAAAACGCGTTGGAGCTAGTAATCCCTACACACTCTGTTTGTGTGCATGGGTGTCTATTAACGTGGACTTCGATCTCAATCATTCAGACAGACTGTAATCACCAACATACGCTGAGGATTCAGGTGCTCTTTTCTTCCAGATATATTTCCTCTGGTATGCACAACTGCTTATTTCTGCAGGAGCAGCTCACAGCGTAGGATTTCACGTGTTGTACAGGAATTGGGGGCCAGTGAATCAGGGCTAATCGGGTACTGTTAGGTCAATATTCTCACAAAGGTGAAATTGATTTTCCATCCCAAAATTTCTAAATGTGTGCAGAAGACCTCCTTGCATGACTCAGGAACAAGATAGCTGAATTATAGTTTTCCTCTCACTGAGAGAAGGCAGAACAGATGATTTCCTGTGGAATATGCGGGGCTCCAGTGTTTCAACCTGATAGTCCCCAACAAATCTTGCTGTGACCTGCAGTGCATTGCTTTATTTCATCCGTTCCTTTAGTTGTAAAGCTAGCTTTCAAATAATTGCTGTCTTACCTCAAACATGTATCCTTAGGAAGAACTAGCTCACACTTGTAAAGCAATTTGAGGAAGAAAAGTGGTGTTTCATTGCTACTTATCATTAATACGTTTTTATTGCTGTATCATTTTCTCTAATGACTCCCTAAAAGCCAAATGGCTTACTGAATAAATGAAAAACTTTCCATCCAGAACCAGACAAGCTGCTCAGTCCATATGTTTAAAATACACCACTGATGGTCTGTGGAATTAATGTACTGAATTTTAGGTTTTATTAATGGAGGTTTGGGGAGAGAAGAATTTCTCCCCTGCTTGTTACAAAGCCGAACAAACCAAAACATTTCATGCCCATGAGGGGCTGAAATAATTTTTTAATATATTTTAGGACAAGAAAGCGTAAGATTTGTGAGAAACATTAAGAAGCGCTAGTCTTAAGTGAATGAGAATAGAGCGTTTCATGCAGTGTCAGACCTCCGTTCCGGCACTCGTATCGTCACACTGTCGCTCTGTTCTTGTGCCCACACTGAATGCTAGGCTAGATCCACCCAGCCAGAAGCAGCTGGCCAGCTTGCCTTTATGAAGCCATTTGACCATGCTCCATTACCAAACCTGAACATGTCAGATCGACATCATTATGAAGAATCTACTCTTTGACTTTCTCTGAATATAAAATCTGAGGCACTAGGGGATTAAAAAACAAACCAAACAAACAAACCCAACCAAAACCTAGGCACAGGTTACACAAGCCTCTTTAGGAGTAGCCCTTAGTTGGTGGTGTGGTCCAATGGGCAAGCTAGTTTGAATACATGTTGGAGACACCTGAACAAGTAACTGTAATGTGCACTTCTGCATGGCGAGCAGACAGGGGTAGCCTCCTCCTCCTCAGACTATTGATAGGGTTGTACTCAGCTACCGCGTATGGACAGATTGCAGCTCAATCCCTCATATAAACAAGACCAGTGCATCTCTGGGTGGGTTTTTGGTTGTTCATTTAATTCTCCTTCTTGGTGTGCTTGACATTGCACTGAGCACTAACAGGCTCATTTTTTCCTGCAGGTGTCCATCTTCCTGTTCATTTCTACAGCAACTAGGATAAGAAGGACCTTAATTATAGAAGCTTTGAGGAAATGCCCTGTTAGATGTTTCTAAATCACATTATTATAACTCTGCACTGAGTCTTGGGCATTGCCCAACATGTAGGACATTTAGGTAAAACTCAGCTTGTTGAAAAGAGAACTGGCTTACAAATTCATGACTTGGTAGAGAATTTAAATTAGAAAAATCTGGATGGTGATGTGCTACTTAATGTAGTAGAGAGGGTTGATAGAAGCCAATGAATAAAGGATCTAGGCAACTGTAAATTTGAAATAAATCTAAGCAGTGAAGGTGACTATGATGAACTGTTCAACAGAGTTCTGGACTTTCCATCTCTGCAGCCATTAACCCAAATCAGTTTTTTTCTCTGGCTAAAATAAGCTTTAACTGAACATAAATTTTCCGACTGTAACTCCAATTACCATTTGTTGCCTGTGTTATATACAAGAAAGAAGTACATGACCCAATGGTCTTTTCCAGCCTTAGAATTTAGAGCAAAGTGATATGTCTGCTGAAATTGCATTCTACAAAAATTAAACTATTCTGTGGGAGAATAAAATCTCATATTTGCTGGTAATGGTGGCTTTTTCTCTTTAAAACTATAAAGAAATACTTTCTTTTATATCTGTTTGAGTTGAATAGGACCATCTTGGTTTTTGGAACTTACTAAAAAGATTTTGATCTGAGTCAGCTCAATGAAACAATAAAGAATTTCCCAATCAGAACATTTCCACACAGATGTTGTAGTGTATTCCACTCTCTTAAAACAAAAGAAAAAAAAAACAACCCCAAACCCCACCAAAACCCAAAAAAACCCCTACCAACAAAAAAAGAAAAAGGAAAATTCAAATTCATGTTCATATTTAGAGCAAAAAGGCTGCAATGAGAGAATGTTTTGTTCAACTGAAAAATCTGAATCTTATTCAGGTCTGTAGAAATCCATTGGAATAGGCATTTCTTCTCTGCTTTTTCTCCTTTTCCATCTTTTTAACTATAAAAATTAAGAAAAAGCATAAGATTTTGGAGAAGTTCCTTTAAAATGTGTATGTGAAAATGCCCTAGTTGAAGAACCTTCTCTGAATCCTGTAATTTTTTTAATGCCTCCCCCCCAGTATGGTATCTAAGAACTTTGAAGCAGAACCAGTGTGTCTGACTGCAGTGAATTGATTTAGACTAGCACAGTTACCTGGCAAGAGTTAAAGGTGTAAATTTTCTTGGACTCAGGAGAAATTTAATCCTTTCTTCCTGCTTATTCTAGGGCTTTCAGCAGAAATTCTCCTTCCATAGTAAAGAGATTGTGGCCATCAGTTGTTCCTGGTGCAAGCTGGCGGTAAGTGGACAATACTCAGGGAGACTGGTAGCAGCATCTCTTAATTGACCACACTGCAAGCAATTTTGTTTCTCCTGGCTCTCAGGGTTCCCTCTCTGTGAATCACCTCCAGTTTTGCCGTTTCTGTTCCTTTTGCTCAAAGACACCATAACTGCGCCTGGTTGACACCAGGCCTCTAGCAGAAGAGTCTTGCATGATGTAGTTGCTGGCTACCTCCCATCAACGCCCTGCCGCTACTAGCTCAGAGAGCCAAAGGGGTCTTAATAGACACAGCTGCTCAAACTAGGTTGTGGTCTTTAATCTGTGATCTGTGTCTAAGTAGATGTGATTGATTTTTGGTAGGGTTGTTTTTTTGTTGGGGTTTTTTTGTTTGTTTTGGTTTGGTTTGGTTTTTTGCAAGAAGGCATGGCTAGGGAAGATGATTTTTAGTTTTAAGTTCCTAAAACTCCATGGTGTGAAGGACTTGAAGATGGCGGATTTCGGAACATTGCTCCAGTTTTTGTACCATCACCCTCCTCTTCCTCTCCATGCTTCCCCTTTGTCTTTGTCTTTTTTGGCCTTCTTATTCACTCTATTCTTTTCCTCTCTTCCAGTTTCACAATAAAGTCACCTGTTTCATGCTACATCACATTGAGGAGCCATGTTCCCTGGGGGCTCACGCTGCTGTCATCGTGCCTCCCACCTGGATCATTAAGGTGAAGAAACCTCAGGTAACTGCATGCTGAGGTCTGTTTCTGAAGCTGTATGGCTGCGCAGGGCCAGCCTGGCTTTCCCGCTCGGTACTCCTTCACTAAGGCATGCTTGTTCAACCCTGCCTCTATCCCTGAAACCCAGCATACATCCATGGTGATTATGAACCTGTATCCTTCCGCCCCTCCATCCAGTCCTTCAGTAGGTTTACCTGTTTGGGATGATTAGCAACAAACGTGACTTTTGTTCTGAGCAAATCCAGCTCAGGTTTGTTCCTCTAACTGTGGCTTCAGTGAGCACACTGCAAGAAATCCCCTGTGTTGTAGGCAGTCAAGCATGTTTCATTAAATAGAGCTGAGCAAATACAGGGAAAAACTGTTCACAAACATTCACTTGAAGTTTTTGTAATGGATATGATATGGTTTAGACAGGATACTGTCTTGTGGTGAACGCTATAGGGAGAGAAGGTATCCAAAAGAAGTGAGCTGGCCTAAAATTAAAAGGGGATTCCCATCATGCAAGAAGTATTCTGTACTTTGAAAGTTTGTTTTCACTCTAGGTTGAACTGAAAGAAACAAACAAACACACTCTGACCATATCAGGGAGCCAGAAATGCTGATGAAAGCTTTATTTCAGAAGCATGGAAACAATATATTTTTTTTCTGAAATAAGTAGTGTCTGGGACATTGAAACTTCCCACTCACATGGTCTTGTAATTTTCCTTCATGGACAATAATGCGGGTTTTATCAAGCAAGCAGCGATGTGCAGTTCTTATATTCGGGTGTCCATCCTTGGGAAGTGACCCAGGGTTTTCTGGCTCTATATCCTGGTTGGCAACAAGAAGCAGAGAAGTTCAGGCTGTCTGCACGGCACTAAGACACAAACAGTCCCATGCAGCTGGAAAAAGGTCTGAGTGGGGACACTGGTCAGTTTTTAATTACAGCCAAGTGATATAACTGTCAGATTTGTGTGGGAGTAGCAATTCTAAGAAGCTGGATATTAAAGACAAGAGGGGGAGAAAAAAAAAAGTACAGAATAATCAAAAAGTCAACTGAAGAGGCCACTGTTTCTCCTTTAGGTACAGAATAGGCAAGGTCCCTAGCCACCTCTCCTCTGAGAAGAGAAGGTTTCTTTGGAGTTTGTATTTTTTCTCACACTCTTGCAGTTAGTTTTACTCCAGCCTCCTCCAGAGAAATCTTTTTTTTTCTCACTTGTTGAACAATCCTTGGCAAGGACTTAATCTTCTTGGCTAATTTTCAGCACCTGTGTGATATTTGGCACAAAAATGAGGCTGGCTCCTTTTCTGTGTCCTTAAAGAGACCGTATGACCCATTAGTCTTAAGTCTTTTTGGTCCCTGGGCATCACAGCAGATTCCCTGGAAGCTCTGTTTTGGGCATTAGCTACAGAATTGGTAACTTCAAGGGTTTGTGGTCTGGAAGTGGATCCATGGGCACCACTAGGAAGGACTTCCTAACTGTTGCAGGGCAGACCTGGAAGCTGGGTACTGCCAGGGTCCTTGGGCATCTTTTACCCTAACCATTTGGCTACAGCTAACCCCATACACATTGGGAGAAGGGAAATAACTAATCTGAGAACCAGCGACCTGTGGGCAGAGGTGCTACCCTCCTCCTAGGGCTGATAAGGAAATGAAATCTTTTTTTTCACCCAGCATATTTCCAATTTATTTATTGTTCAAGTTGTTTTGTTTTTTTTTTTAATGGTGATTTAAAACAAAACACCCCCCAAAACCCTTTCATATGCCTTTGAGTATATTTTCTTACCAAAAAAAGTAGATTATTGAATTTTTTATATCATTTTATGGCTTACCAAAACTCCTTTTTGTGAGTTGGCAATACACTGCAGTCACCATTCTCTTAACTGAAATCAGGAAAAGAATATTAAACCCCAAAATATTAATTTTAATAAAAAGAAAATACATTAATAACAATAGATGTATCAGTGTCTGACCTTACTAAAAGAAACCTTTCTTTGGTATTTTTAATTTTTATTTCATTTAATTTTTATTAAATGTAAAAAAAATTGACACTTGTAACTTGCTTTTGATTTGGCATTTTGTAAAAGCGAGGTACCTTCCTTATAATATTTTTAGAGAAGTTTTGTTCTTGTCCATTAATTTTTCAGATAAATTCAAATTAAAAAATATAATCCAGTTAATTATAATTAATAGGAAAATGCTTTTAAATAGATGTTTAAAATATTATACTTTAAGAAAATGTTAGCTTTGTGTGCCTGAGTCATGAGTGGAGAGGAAGTAGTTCAATATTCACTCTCCATCATGTCTCAAGTCCTTGAAATTTGAGGTCAGTAGCATGTAAAAACTTTATCTTGAGTAATTGAAGCATTAGATAGATCAAAAAGATATTTAACACAGACAATGGGCATATTCCCGTGAAACTTCTTAAGAGCACCCCTCTCAGTGTTAGCTCTGGGGAATGCATCTTTATTGCTGTAGAAAATACTGGTGCATCTTTCAGATGTGTTTTCAGATTTTTGGCAGAAGTCTTGTGTTCTTTTTTTTTTTTAGGAAACATTTCCTCCCCTTCTGCTGTTTCTGGCCAGCTCTACTTCTGTGTATTATGACCCTCTTCACCCTATATGCACATTTGGTAAATACTAGCAAATATTGACTGCGTTCAATCCACAGAATGCAAACAAAATGTTCAGAATTTTTTCTTAATTCAAAGAGTAAATAAATGTGTAGCCAGCAATCTGTTTTTCACATATTCCACAATCGGAATAAATTTGGCTAAAAGCTGCCTTCTTACAAATTATTTCCTCAGCTCTAATTAACTACTCACATTGGTCACAGGCAACTCCTGAACTGAATTCCCTACTCATGAAATTGGTTTTAGTGGTGCCTTCATCCTGTTTGCTGGTTGTTTCTTTTAAGCAAATAAGATGGATTTTTGTAGCAAACCTTGCCCTGATTTTTATTGCTCTTTTTATTGCTACAAAAATAGTTTTCCATGCTCAGTTTGTACAACGTGGGTCACCACCTTTCAAACATTGCACTTGAATAAGGATTGCACTCCTCCTCTGATTAGCAGCAATGCTGTGGTAATAAAACATTATGGTGTAATTGGTTAAAGAAAAATCTCTGCTGACAACCTACATTCTAAATGGGGAGATTTTGCTTCTTGCAAGCAATTGATTGCAAGATGAAGAATATTCAGAATGGTTCAAATAGCTTTGGGATTGGTGGTAGCCCTGTATGTAATGATCCATTTACATGAATGGAAAACTTGCGGTATTTATTTCATATTTGTGATGTGAGCCACTTCTGTAACTTCTTTACTGATTTCCAGTGTTTCTGTACCGTGTTAGCAGCACTTTGATACCAGCTCTGATTTCCTGGGGTTCAAATCAATTCCACCTCCTAGTTTTTGAAAGCAGGTCGCCCCTGTTGACTGGTGGTATTTTGTTATAGGTGAGGTTTGGTAGCCCAAGTGGTGTTAGCTTTAGGAATGGACATGCTATACTTATGTTGTGGGAGAATAAGGAGGATCTGGCTGATTCCGTCTGTTTGGGAAGGCAAAGGCAGTAACTGTAAAATTCCATTTTTTTTCTGTTCAAGGTGAGTAAACATGGTGTTTCCTTCTCCTTTGAGGACCTTGAAAAAGTGCTAGTGAATGTTTATACTTCTGGGTTTATTTCTTTATTTCCTCAATCGCTGAGTGCAGCTGGCTTGTCTGATTGTGGTTTGTGAACAACCAGAAGGAGGTCAAGATTGGCCTTCCCAGAGACTGTTCCTTATTTAGTCATTTGAAGCCCAGCATGCTAAAAGCCTTTGAAAATTAAGGCTGAAATGTTATAAAAGAAAAGGTTGAAAGTGTCTGTTGGATTTCATTGAGATAGTCTGTGGCCCTCGCACCAGCCAACACCGAACTAAAAGGACTCCAATTCTTCTGTTCATCTAGCTAAGCTTGCTTAGAGCTGTAGTGACCATGCAATAATACTAAAAAACTCTCTTTAAGATGGACAAACTGACATCCACACAGGAGAGGTTTCCTCTCTAGAGGCAAGCTAGGACATACGGTGCCTATTTAATGGTATGCTTTGCTATCAGGTACTTCACTGAATAACATTATACGTTTCTAAAATACTCACCACCTTTTTATATGGACAAGGTAGTGTGCATCCATTTCTTCAGTTTAATGTGCAAAGACTGGTGATTACTATCGGCTGTTATTCTTCTGCATGTTTGCAAAGAGAACCTATGTATGTTTAAGCAGCTTTTTTGCCTTTCATCTGCTATGGACATGAAAGTTGCAATCATTGTGGCAAAGCTTTAGGTTCTCTTAACACTATAGGTGTAGGCATGTTTTTTAAAAAAAGTGAAATAACATAGTCGTGACATAGCATATTTTATTGCCTTTTTCAGTGTGTAAATGAAAAATGTTATAATAATGAATGAAGGCTTAGATTAAAACTGTTTCTTTAATATAGATGTATGCCACTTCCCACCCCACCCAGAGGCAAGAAAAGCAATATGTTATAATGAGAATTAGTGACACCTATCTTTAAGCCTTCTTTAAATTATTATTTTTTTAAATTAGTCAGGATTTTACTAACTATCTTTGCCCTTTCCAGAAGAATTTCACTGGGCTTAGGTCCACCCATTATGGAGGCAGAAAACCAAGTATAGTCCTTCTTCCAGAGGTACAGTTAAGTACTTGCCTAGTATAATCCCTAACTTGAGTTAAACTACGATTTGCCGGCAGAATTCACTGCACTTTACCAATAGCATAAGTATTTTGAATTTTACACCTGGAGAGACTGGCGCACAGGGAAAAGGCTTGATATGCCTGTGACATTTCAGCAGGCCACTGGCCAGACCGTGGATAGACTAGATCTCCTCTCTCTCTCTTGTGTTTTGCCTGCTCCAGGGAGGGTCCTTCAGTAGAGAATGGCTGCAAAACTAGGCTAAGGCCTCCACAGGAGGCAGCTTTGAGAGTAATATCCTGTACCTTTATATTGACATAAAGACTTTTGTCTACAGTCAGTCTGGCTGCTGAGGGAGGGCAATGAGAGACCGTGCAGTCGATGTTGCCGATGCACTTCCATAGCCAGTGCAGTCTTTGTGGTTTATCATGCTTTCAGGATCACTTTGTATCAGAGCACTTCTTTAGATGGTCTCTCAAAATATGGTCTAAAAGGGCAAATGCCCTGTAATTGCTCTGCGGAACCATGTCGTCTTCAGTATTTTCAGTAAGCACCCAGGCATGGCTATGTCCTGGTCCACAAGGAATGTTGAGAGGTGACAAAAAGCTTGGGAACTTGTGCTCCATAGCAGGCTTCTCTCAGTTTGGGTGAAAAAGGACAGTGTCTTTAGGTATTTGAGTTAAATAGCTGTTAGTTTTTCTTAACTTCTCAGAGATGTGAAAAAATTAACTTCTGTATCTTGTGTGTTGTACTGAAGTCTTGAAATTCTGGAAGTGGTTGTTAGGTATTAAATAGAACCTAGTAGCTAATCTTGTTAATGTTGATTAGCAAGCAGGATTAAGGACAGCCATCACTGCTTACAGATTTGATGATCCCTGGTCATTGACTTTCTTCATTAGTAGTACAATTTTGAATAAGGTCAGGACAGAAATTAACTTTTGGATGAGCTGAGTGGATCTTTCTTCTTGAAGCCAGAAAAAAAATCAATAAACTTTCTTCTAATTCCCTCTGTTACTTTATTTACTGGTGACGGCTAGACTAGAAGTTGAAATACTAAGAAAATATTTACAGTATTTCCTGTAATACAAAATTTCAATCATATGGAAAGGGTTAGGGATTCTTGCGAGTATGACTTCAGTTACTGAATTAAAATAATGAAAAAATAAAATAAAATTCCCCTTTTTGGGCTGTTCTTATCACACCAGAACGCCTTTTGGTTCAGTATCACTGAGCAGGCTATGGCCAGCCTGGAGAATAGCTTTGATGCAAGTCCTGTTTTAATAGGTTCTGTAAAACTACAGGCAGTTCTATGTTGTTTGTTTTTTTTTTTTCCCCTGTAGTTAAGTGATATTGTTATTTAAAAACAAAGCAAACAGAAACCCCACAAACACTCCTCTCACCCAAATCCTTAAATGTTAACAGTTCAGTTTGTTCCTTAGCAGACGATTACACAAGTTTCTTGATAGGCTGGAACTGACTCCACAGTGCCAGCATCATATGCCATGGTGGCCTATGTTATGTTGAGTCATAATGGTTGCCAGAGCTAAAACTTGTTGTTTTCTTTCCTAAAAAAAACATGAAAAATATCTCATTTATCATGTTTTTTATTACATCTTTATGCAGGTGGTCTCCATACCAGGAGACGAGCCTGATTGGGCAGGAGACTGGAGCCCCGAAGGGGAAACGGGCGTCTCCTACCCCTATTGGGAGGGTTGGCAGGTACAACATGTGGTGTTATGTGAGTCTATGGGAGCATCTGATCTTTTTGCCCCCTCACAGCGTGGGAAAGTTTCCAGTTCCAAAGCACCAGTCTGGTCTCCGTGTGTGGCTTTCTCCATAAACGGTGGTGTGGAAGTGTAAAGCATGCAGCGCATGTAATTTAAATCTTGAGCATGTGCCAGATACTCTTATCATTCTCCAAGTGGACATGCATGGAAGAGCTTCGTAAAGGGGCTCTGTCTGGGCCTGTCTTCTAAATTTTGTTTTGCTTTTCATGTATTCTTTTTTCTTTTGATGTAGAACTCATTAAAGACTTCAACGCGGCGAAAGAAGAGAACGTCTTTTAAAAGAAAAGCCAGCAAAAGAGGCAATGAAGTAGGTATTCAAGTGCTTTGGAAATCAGGCTCCTTTTGCTTAAATGTCTAAATGCAGACTTTAAAGTTTAATTTTTTTTACTGAAGTGCTTAATATTCTTTTCCCCTGGAAAATTCCATGCTATCAAATTTGTTGTGAGAAGAGATCAGTTTTGATAAAACTTGTATGAAAAGTGTTATTTGCTGAGTAGATTATTTTCAATAAACAACATTCCAGACTCCAGAAGGACCAGCAGCCTAATGAAACAGCGTTCCCTTGGGATGTAAGAGACTCGGCTCAGACCCTTGGTTTCTACTAGGCAAAGCAGGGTGTGAAACTGGGGTTGTGAAATCCATGGTGAGTGCACTGATGCAAGGGTCTGGTCCAATTTGAGGGTGTCTCTCTCAGGAGACCTCATGTTCTAAATATTCTGTTTGTGTGAAAATTGACATTGGGCCACAGAGAGGGAGAAAACAGGCGAATGATCTGATGGTTTGATTAACCATGCAGCTTAAAGAAGACCTTGTTTCCAGACCCTGCTTAGTGGTTTAGGTATGTAGATGAACAACAGCCTCATGGGGAGAATCGTAGAATGTTTTGGGTTGGAAGGGACCTTTAGAGGTCATCTAGTCCAACCCCACTGCAGTTTAACTAGAGGTGGAGGGAGGCTTGCCTCTGCACAGCCAGAGCTTTCTGATTAAGATCCTCACTTAGGTAGTGGGAGAAATGCAGACCAGAAACTTGAAACTGTGTCTGCCACAGCCCAGGAGAGTGCCCTCAGTAGTGGGCTCTCTGGTGTCCTGCAGGGATAGGGAGTAGGAAGGCAAATAGCTTCCTCATTGACATGTCATGTTTGACCTGTGACATTTGTTCAAAGGTGGGAGGGCCAGCAAGGCCAAGAATTCAAGAGTAGATCATCTGCCACTACGTGCTGATACAACTTGACTGTCAGATGGAATTAATGAAATAAGTAGTTTATCTCATTCTATTTTTCATTGGAAAATTGTTCCTATTGGAAATAACACTTCATCCGAGACATTATTAGTCCTGTGTGAATAACTGTTTTTTTAAGAAATAACTTTGAGTGAAATTTTAAAATAGTTTTGTGCTGGCCTGAGCGATTCCCCTCCCCCCCATCTTCTTACTCGATTGTCTCAGCTGGATAAATTAGTCCCAGTTGAACACCCCATTAACATTGCTGTACTGTTTCCAGTACCTGAGGTAGTTTTGTCAGACCTAGGTTGGGTCTCCTGCACATGTTATGCCAGGGAAACATTCATAGCTTGTACTAAAGCTGTTTCTTGCTTCTGTTTCTCAGGATAACAAAGGTCGGCCATTTGTGATAAAGCCGATCTCCTCCCCACTCATGAAGCCGCTGCTGGTTTTTGTCAATCCAAAAAGTGGAGGGAATCAGGTAAGAATGTCCAGGTCACAAAGTTTTAGTTTAACAACAGTGTTTCTGCTAATGAGAAGTTTTTGATGCGTCAGGTAGGAAGAACTCTATGCAACTGAATTGTGGTCCTTAGAAGAGGTCCTTGCTGTTGAATGCCCTTTCCACTTCAATGGAATTGGATGGGTGGAATGGATACTTGAGTATTTAAACAGTTGTACTCCTATCTTGAGATTCTTGAAAGGAATCTAAAATGGTAGTTTGGAGGTTTTCAGAAGACATCATCTTTTCACAGAAAATTCGGATTGCCAGTGGAGTCTTAGACTATTATCCAAGAAGTGATTTAATTTTACTAGAAAAGCCCACTGAAATTAGTGAATGTGAAATGACACATTCTTATGGCATTTAAAAAAAATCATTCCTGTGGTCTTATACTGTACCATAGAGAACCAAGTTTCAGTGGCTAACATGATCATGCAGCAGACTTCTTTCTTAGGGTTCTTGGAATTAAAGCGTATCCAAGTGAAAGTTTTGCAGATTAGTTCTGCCACTTTTTGAATATCAAATAATCTGAGTGCCTTTTGATAAATAAGGCCTTCTAGTTGAAAAGGAAAGATTGATGTAATATATGAGGCCTATATTGCATGGGGAATAACATAGCCGCTGCTCACTTTCTCCTCTGTTAGAAGAATTAGGGAGAATATCAAATGAAACTGCTAAGACTCTGATTTAAACCAGGAAAAAGTCAGTCCTTCTCACAGTGTGTAGTTCAGCTGTAAAACTCCTTGCCATAGGATGTTGTGGATGCTAAAAATTTACATATAGGCTGAAGGAGAGATTTGGAAGAGGTGACCCTGAAGGTTACTGAAGTCTTGGCCCCCCTCTGACTGGAGAGTTCTATGAACTGCAAATAGCTGAGGCTAGGGCAATACCTACAGGAAACATCACATTTATTTTCTCTGTTCTTATACATTTTCCTAGGCACTTTGGCTACTATTCTTGTTTCTCCACTTAGGGGAAGGTGTCAGATGGAAGAGCCATCCCTCAGAAGGGGGAGCTATTGAAAATTCCTCACTTTCACACCCTAGGCTATGTCTGAAAAGTATTCTTGAACTACTTTGAAGTACAAGCTGGCCCCATGGGGTTCTTAGACCTCTTCTGCCAGTAAGAGATCCTGCCTTTTTGTGTCTGGGCAGAACTTGAAGGAAGAGACTCAGTTTTTTGGAATATGAACCCAAGAGTTTCAGAAGGCAGAAATTATATCTATAGGTTATGGGCTGGCCACACTGCACTGAGTGAGGGAGCATTGGGGCAGCTGTAGACTAGAGTCCTTGGCTCCTGCTTCATTAGATGGTAGAGGGCTACAGTTATGGGTGTTAATGGTGGTGATGATGGAGGTCAAAGCAGTGCCATTGCTTGGATGGTGTGCATGACACTGTTCAATGTGACAGTGACTTTGCCTACAAGCTTGTTCAACTTCTTGCTGTTGTGGATAGCTGAGGGTAGTGTGGGATAACAGAGATTTCTTGTTGCAGGTGGTGAGAGGTAGGAGAACAGGTTGCTGTGGGAGCTGAACCTTTGGTCTGACCCTGAAGGCCTGTTTTTGTGAACCAATAATGATCTGTTGTGTTAAATTTAGTCTATATGTATACATGGGCCCCCTGCCCAGATTGGTGGGTTGCTATTCTTTAGAGCAATCATCTGCTGTGCCACTTTCTAGTTTGTCTTTTTCTTGATTTATGTTTGCATTGTAAAGCACAGAAGAAAGAAAAGCAGTCCAAATATAGTGAACATTGAACACTATTATTTCTAATAATCACAAAGCTATTCATAATTTCCCTTCCTTTGATTTTTCTCTTTTCCCAGGGCACCAAGGTTCTCCAAATGTTTATGTGGTATTTGAATCCACGCCAGGTCTTTGATCTCTCTCAGGAAGGGCCAAGAGATGCGTAAGTTCTTAAGCCTTCAGTGCTGCAGGCCATAATTCTTTTCTTATCAGGAAAGCAGTCAAATGTCTAGCTTGGATAGATTGGTACACTGCATATTGGGTTTACATGTCCAGGATTTGGTAGTGGTGGTGGGGTGGGCTGCAATGGGGGCTTCTGTGAGAAGAGATCAGGAGCTGCCCCCATGTCAGACAGCCAGTTCCAGATGGCTCCAAGACGGACCTACTGCGGATCCCACAGTGCCTGACCATTCCCTAGTGTGGCTTAGCATTGCAGTGGGGTGAGGCTGCCTCCAGATTTCCATACGTGACAGCAACATGCAAGTACCTCTGCTTGCTGAGTAACCAACTCAGCTTCTCTGGGCAATAGTTATGAGCCTCTTCCAGGGGATGGAGGACCTGTCTTTAAAGGGATGATTCTCACTGCTGAGGGTTAAGAGACCATCATTCTATAGTATTTGAGATAGGCATACTTGCTTTAGTCAACCATCTGTTCAGCAATACTTTCACAAGTTAGGCAGCACAAAAATATAGTAATCATGTAAAATCAAATATTTACCTGTATAATAACAGTCCAAGTATTTGCAATTCATACTTATAGAGCACCCAAGCCTTTTATGCTGAAACGCCTCCACTGCTGCTCCCCTCATGATGTATAGAAACTTTAAAGTATACATACAGTTTTCAGAGTTGTGTAATGGAGTTAAATGAGGATTAGGCCCTCTGGTCACTCAGCTCTTTACGTGTGAACATACCCCTTCCATTGGGAGATATTTTATTACGCCTCTCTTTCATGCAACCAAAGGAACAAGTCTTTAACGGGTGCTTTTTTTGGCTCTCCTGTTGGCATCTTGGATCACATATCTAGAGAAAGAGCTCTTGTAGATGTTATTGCCTTCTGTGGTGTTAAAGAAATACAGTTACCAGCTGAAGGAACTGTCGTGTTCTGTGTGCCTCAGAAATGGTAGCTCAGCAAATCCTGATGAGGAACATTAAATTTTGTTTAAAAACCTCAATGTTTATATTTGTTTGCTTTAGGATAAGAGAAAAATGGAGATTTATGTCATCGTCAGAGGGAACATGAGTATCTGGCCTTTCAGATTTAGCATGGGAACATGTGGAACTGATCAAATACTTTCTCAGGAGGTGCTGCCTCACCATGGAGGAAAGCCCCATTTCACATCCTAGTGGCTGTGTGTGTGTGTGTGTGCGAAGATGAGAAGGGAGCCACAGGGCTCAGGCTGGGTTGGGGCCTATGGCACTGGCAGCTGCCAGGGCTGATGCTTTCTCACTGACGAAGCTTATTTTTCTTTTTTTAACTTTATTTTTCTGCCTTCACCCACACCCTTAGTAATGAATATTTGAAAACACAGTAAGTGGCAGTTGAACTGTCACTCAGCAAAATGCATTAAAAGTGCCTGCATCATTGTTCTGTCTTTTTTTTCCCCCCCTTTCCCTCCCCTGGCCAGGCTGGAGCTGTACAGAAAAGTGCCAAACCTGCGGATCCTGGCCTGCGGTGGGGACGGGACGGTAAGTGGCTGGTGCCTGGCAGTCCTGTGGTCATCGCCAAGAGATTAAATTCCTTGCAGTTGTGGGTTTCCCACCTCGCAATGCCTGTGGAGCCAGATAACATGCTTTATAAACTTGTGAAATCTACTTTTTAAAAATTTTCTGTGTGGCCTGGTTTGTGTAGTGATGAGGCCAGATCTTAATGTCCAAGGTCCTGTCTGCTTTATGCACAAAAGACCTAGGCAAAGCTTAAAAAAAAAACCCACTAACTTTCCTGGCCTCCTCTCACAATTTACACACATCTGAGGGTCTAGTAGCTTAAGTCAGTGTCTGGGGGCCATTATATCTTAATTTCTGCTTCTTCCTGCTATCGTCTCCGTGATGTCTGAGTACAGTCAAATAGGGTCCCCTCTGTGCCTGACGAAAGTGAGTTTCCCCACTTTCTTTACCAAGCATCTGTAAGGAATGACATTGCATTGGTCATGCTGCTAGCCTGGGATCTGGCAGATCCAGGGTCAGTATTTTTCTTTGCTACTGAATTTCTCTGTGTTCTTGGATAATCGAAAAGGGTCAGATCTTTAAATGATTTAGGCATCTTCGGTTGGAGACGGGCTGTGTGGTTCAGGACCTAGAGACCATGAGTGCTGATGGAGGCATTACAACCTCATTACTCTTTCCAGTGTTTAGGAATACTGTAAATCTCAGTCTGTGCCACTGAGTGCTTAAATACAGTTGAAAACTAACCTTTAATCTCTGTGAAGAACAGTTGCCCAAACATGCACTTGATAATAGTTGTAACTGTAAGTATGGTAAGGAAAATGCATTACTGGTTGCAAGGTGCAGTGGCTGGCCAGGATAGGTATAGATATATGTAGATATTTAGGGCACAGGGAGGCTTTTTTTTTTTTTTTTTTTTTTTTTTTTTAAGGGAGCTGAACCAACCCTCAACCCATCTCTGGTGGAGTTTCTGGGGGAACTTTCTGTTCAGTTTCTGCAGGTTCTTTTCAAATGCCAGCTGTAGGGGTTATTAATAACATTGCTTCCTCTGCAAGAATGAGATAAATATGTGATTTGACTACTGCCTTGCTGGTACCTGGGACAACAAGGTACTACCAAATTGTGAATGTTCCTTGGGAAACCTGCAAGGCATTGCTTTAGCAGGATCACAGCTGCACAAAAAGAGTTTCAATCTGTTTCTGAAAGTCTTTGCAGCTTCCATCTGAGGAAGCCGATATTTTAATAGGGGGAAAAAAAAATCTTCATCCTGAAAATACTAAAATAGAAATGAATGCAACAACATTTGAATCTGCCCATCTTTTGTGTTCCCTTTGCTGAGCAGTACAAGCGACAGGTGGCAGCACCTTCTCATTAGTATGAGCAGCACTCTGCTATTACCTTTGCTGCTGCTCAGTTTGAAGCAAATTAATATCTAGTTATTCCCAAAGCCATTACGTCTAGAAATGAAAAATCTGGCTCAAATGGACTTAGTGAATATTCAGTGAGACCAGATGTTACCTTGCATTATTGAGGTGAATCAGAACTTATTGTAACTTTTTCCATCATCGCCGCTTGCTGTTCCTTTCCAGGGCATAGGTGGAAAGCTTTGCTTTCAAAGCAGTCAGGAGCTTCCTGTTTACAGGGAAATTACAATCTTTGTCATCCTTGATTGTAAAACTAATGTGCAAGGTTTAGAAAGGACCTCAAGTTAAATAGCAATGTTGTACTTATAAATTAGTAATTTGAATTTTCTGTTTATAGTTAAAAGTGTTTACAAAAGTGGTAGGTATTGCAATGCTACCTGCACTAGTGGGAGGCTGAGGCACAGATTTGTGGATTAAGTCAGTGGCAATGGCAAACGGCTGATGACAAAAGACTCTTTAAGGAGTCCTGGCCCTAGTGAAGTTATCGGGACCATTCTGTCTCCTGTTGCCAATACTGAAGGATAGATTTTTTGAAAGGTGGAGGATTACTTATCTCTGAAAATCTCTTAAGGACTGTACTTGGTCCTACCATGGTGCCTGTGATAGATCTAAGTACCTTTGGTGACTTCCAAGTTCATGAGAGTTGTAAGTGATTCAGATGACGGTTGTCAGACAATGAGCTCTACTGTGGGTTCACATCCCAGATGAATGCTTTAATAATTATACAATTGGTTATGATATATAACTGTCTGATAAATTCTATTTATACTTAATTAAATTTCTTTGAGATACTTGGGGAAAGACATACCCTAGAATACCAAATAGGGTGGTGGTTGCTATAAGTATCAGGCCACCCACTCTCCAGTCCTTCAAATTCAAATTGTGGTTCCCAAAGCCCATGTTATTCTGGGTACCTTTTCTGAAGTTCCAGTTTTATTCCAGTTTGGGGTAAGAATCTGTTTGAAATCATAGTAATGGAGAGCTGAAGTCAGGATTTCAGTTTTATGTCTTATTTAAAAGCTCACATTTCCAGTAGAGGCTGCATCTTTGAACATTGGCATCAGGAAAAAATAGATCAAATTTTATCTTATTATTTTTTTTTCTTAAATTTTTATTTAAAAATGCAGCACAGGTTCTTTCACAGATTTTTTTTTTAATTTTATTTTGGTAAAGGTGAGAAATAGTTTGAGAAATAGTCCTATTTTCTTGAAGCAAGAATTTCAGTCACAAAGAGTTTCAGAACATTTTCAGCAACACTTCCTTACGCCCTTGGAAATTACCATTTAATGAAAACAAAATATTTTACAGTAATTTCTTACTTCTGGCTAGATTTCTATTTCAAAGTCTTACGTAGTCCAGAATAGGGACAGAAGAGAGAAACAGCTCTCCAAAATAACCAATAGTTTATGATACAAAAGAGACAGATCAATTGTTCCAACCTAAAGACTCAACACTGAGCATTAGGGTTTGTCTTTTATTCCAGTCTTTTAGTCTTCTATTTAGTCATATACATGTGTGTGTGTGTGTGTGTATGACTAGAATATATATATATATCTTATGCTTTGTACTGAGTGAAACAATTCGGCACTAAGGTCTCTTGTCTGGGGAATGGGACACTCGTGGGCAAGTCCATGCTTGACTTGATCTGGACCCTCTGTTCCAGCTCCAGGACATGCTCTGAGATAGCATGCTCTTTTAATGTCTCTTTCACATCTTTCCTGACAGTTGTTTACCTTCTTTTAGCATAAGGGCACTTTAAAAAACTTATCCCGAATCATCCATATTATTCTTCACTCATTTTTACATACAGTATTTTTCAGAGCAATAGTTAGGCAGCCTTAGCCAGGTGTAATTCTATGTGTTTTCATTTCCTGCTTAAAGAACAGCAGCTTATGCGCTCCCTTTCCTCAGTAAATCTGTGTGCTGTCAAATATAGCCAGTGTTTACATCTCACTGCTTCTGCTTGCACAGGAGTTTCATCAAAACTGCTGTACCTGTTCTCCAAAAGGTGAAACCTCAGATGGGGCAGTTGTAGAGTTCAGATACCCTCATTTTTCCTTCTGCTTTTTGTTTTAATTGATCTTCTCCACAAAGGAGTTACAATCAAAATATGTCTTTTTTCCATCCCTTTTAATCTTTCAGACTAACAGTTCTCTGCATTTCTCATTTTATAGGTGGGCTGGATCCTCTCCATCCTTGATGAGCTGCAACTCAGCCCCCCGCCTCCTGTGGCTGTCCTTCCGCTTGGCACTGGGAATGACCTTGCCCGCACCCTCAACTGGGGTGGGGTAAGCACTGACTAGGGTACCCTCATGCGCAGGCTCTCAACTTGCTGGTCTGACCTAGTTGTGTAGTAGGGTGAAACTTAATTTTGGCTAAAATATCAGGCAGGGCTGTATCCAAGGTCTGCTTCAGTTAGGCACAATGATTTTGGTTCAATTTCCAGTCTGGGATCTCAAATTACTAATGATGTAGTTGTTGCAATAAAGGTGTACGTAGATGTATCTGGTATTTTAGGCCAAGTAATGAGGACAATAAGCAGGCTTCTAATTTAAGCATAGTTTGAACTTTATTTCTCTGTATTTTATCCTTGACTACACCACTGGAGTTTCTCCAGGCAAGGCAAACACACTTTGAGTTCCTCTCCTTATGGTCTTACTTTGCCTGCCCAAGACTTGTGTACCTGAGCAATGGCTTGTTAAAATGATTGCTATCTCAAAATCTAGCAATATTTTGAGGTGTTCTTAGGAACATTTGATCTGGCCTCTATGAAAGGAGGGTAGCTGGCAAGTGACTTGCTTTGCTTTCACTATCCATGGCTGATACGCTGGTGACACTCCCTCTGCTGTCAGGGTTACACAGATGAGCCAGTGTCCAAGATCCTGTGCCACGTAGAAGATGGGACCATTGTTCAGCTGGACCGTTGGAATCTCCAGGTTGAGCGCAACCCTGATTTGCCACAGGATGAGCTGGAGGATGGGGCACGTAAGGTTAGAGCCTTCTTTTTCCCAGAGAGGGAATAGGATGCTTAAAACCATCTTTGGGTTACACCATAAGATGCACAAGTGGGGAAGCTCTAAAACTTTTTAATTCTTTAGTTGCATTGCTTCCTTTTGCTCTCTTCACGTGTCAATGCTTCCAGAGGTGTGTGAAATGTATTATATACCACCATTTATTTGTGTTTGAAAGTTCAGATATTGAGCATTTATCTCAAGAACAAAGTCCTGGCAAAAATCCCTGGTATCTTATCTGAAATATCATTGGTTTTTTTTTTCTCTAATTAGCTTGGGGTGACAGGAGAAGCAACCTTGTGACAACCTAATTCCTAAACAACAATTGCTAAACACAGGATGTAGAATTTTACTCCTTAGGATTTTGCTAATGAATACCAACTGTTCCCTACTTTACAGCAAGGAGTAGTGTATTTTTGTATTTAACTTCTTTGTGTGTGGGTCTCCATGTGATCTTGATAGCTGAGAATGGGAAAATTTTTGTGAGGGAATCACATTTACAGTCATATGTCATTTGGAGATGTTGAAAGTGTTACAATCATAAAAAAAAAATTATTGTGAACCATTTTCCTCTTCTCAGTTATAATTTCCAGCTTATCTATTGGATGCTACTGTTCTCCCTCCACAACTCCGCTGGGCACATGTGATGAGGAAGAGGCCAGATGTGAGCTTTCCTGCCTCGTGCATCCTCAGTAGGCTTAGGGCTTCTTGTCTGGGACTTGCATTGCTCCTGATTATATAAGAAGCAGGAAAAACACAGCTTGAGTTTCATTCACCGTGCTGAGCCTGAAGTGCCAGCAATTAGGAAAACCTTTGTATTGATGTGTTAAGTGGAGCAGCATTATGGGAAATCTCGATGACAACATAAGGAACCCTTTGATATGTTTACAAAGACACATGTATGATCATCAAGCACTGTAGATGTGTTTGTGTTCTTTAGGCTTTTGTATCTGATTATCTTTCACAAGCTATTACTAACCTTCAGAGCAACCTTCTACATACGTTTCCCTAATATATTCCACTTTCTTCTTCTTAGGTATTAATGAGATGCTAGATTTAAAATAGTTAATTCCTGGTGTGTCATGGAATGTTTCATTCGTGCTATTTTTACATGTCTTTTTATTATCCAATTACAGCTTCCACTCAGTGTTTTCAATAATTACTTCAGCCTTGGATTTGATGCACATGTTACACTGGAATTCCATGAATCTAGAGGTAATAGGAAGTTTTTATTTCCTTAGTCTTGGGAATGGGCAGTTATTTTATGAACTACAAATGGAGTTGGATTTAACATCCTGTTCCTATAATTCAGAAGGAAAGCTGGAACATAAAAACCCAAGATACAGACACAAGTAGGAAGAAAGTGATTGTATCATGAGTTTCCAAGGGACCTTATGAATTTAAAAATGAAAAAAGTACAAGGAAAAATGGCATTCACTGGAGAAAAAGAGCTAAAAGGGGAGCTTTTCAAAGTTTTTGATCTTCTAAAGGAGATACCACGTACAGATATAAAGGAAGTTTATGCTGATGCAGAAGTGTCAGACTAAGAGCGCAAAGAAAAACAAGAAAAAGTCAGGTGCCAGTTTTCCCTCCAGTGTGGAGGTGGAGGGAGCTGCGAGGCTGTGGAAGTAGCAGGAGGATAATTGTGTTCTCAGACTGAACAGCTGTTACCTATGGATGAGTGTAGCATAATGTCATTGGACTTGGTACTGACCCAGAGTGCCTCTATGCGACTGAAAGGTTTTAATGAAGTCCACAAAACTGTCAGGAGTTTGAGCTGTTGTGGCATCTTGTTTGTCCCCTTGCCAAGGACAGTTACACCACCCCATACAGACCCAAATGTGGCTTAACAGGTGGGCTTTGGGCTGATGTGAATTGCTCCATTTGTATGGTTTAGGCAAGCCTGCTTGTATAAAGAAACCTTTTCCAATTGCCTGTATTCAGCTTATGGTGATTTCGGCTTCATGTGCAGGTATTTTTTCTAAATGACAGCCTCCCTTATCTTCACTTTTATACTACCAGAGTGTCACTTCAAGATGAAAAGATAGCACTCTAATGCCATGCTAAATAAAGAGCAGGATACATGATGGAATGAGCTAATGCATATTTAATAATGTTTAAGACTGCTTCAAGCTTTAGGAATAATAATGAGGGGCCACAAAAGGGCACAGGAATGAAACTATGACAGCTGTATGCATTTTTTGATGAATGCATATCACTATGCATTGCTAATGTGACTGTGAATATACTGTATAGATGAAGTGCACAGCTACTTTCTCACTTAATGGAGACATTACTTAATAATGAAGTAATGGAACCCTATAAAGAATAGATGTTATTCCAGAGATGCCAATGTTTTAAAAATTTACATGGGTGAAAAAACACTTGGCAGAGCAAGCTGTGTGTCTGTGAGTAGGTATGTGTGGCCAGGAGAGCTTTTCATAGCACAACTGTCTGCTCTTACAAGTAATTACTGCTGGTGTCTTCCTCACCCTCTCGAATGCTAAAATATACAAATGAGTTCTGTGTTTCAGGAGAGAAGAACTTGTAGCCTTGGAGGTGTTGCTGGTGTGTAGGTTTTATTGTGTTTCATGTGGAATTAAGCAGTGCAAACCAGATTTTCATCTCATTTAAAATTGATGGCAATCCAGAGAAACTCGTAGCAAAACTTAAAGCACTTTCATAGCTGTTGCACTTGGTCCGTTAAGAGAAGTGGTTGTATGCAGTTGCTTATGTGGAGCTATTGTAATCACATGTAGTATTAAAACAAAAAAACCAACCATGCCCCCCTCTCCCCCTGCTAAACAATAATAAATTAGATTGATTTGAACTCAGCCTATCAGGACATTTTATGCAATAGAGATTGGTCAACTGTTATATTTAGAATAAGCAGTGATTACAGTGTCTCAGAGGAACATGTACATGAATGTGGCCTTTTCCATGGCAACCTCTACACTTTTGCTTGTGACTAATCAGATTGAGCCTTGAGGGTTGGCTCCAAGCCTAACGTATTTAGCTCTGCTTCTTCACGAAGTGTTCTGGGTAGCAACTCTTTCCAGAGTCACAGTTTCCTCCTTTGTTATCCCTGTGCTTTGGTGGATCAAGGGAGATGCAATTTACTTTATCCCTGTTGATGTGCTGTTTGCTCCCTCAGCTCCCCAGGACTGTTCACTTACAGGAACCACCCGCCCCCACCCTGCACACACACACAACAACGCTCTCCTTTTCCTCCTCCCTTGATGGCTTGAGAAGGGTGAGGGTGGAGTGATCCTTGGATATGCAGTCAGCAATTTACTTCTACAATTGAAATTGCACTTTAATCGATTTTAGGCTCTATTCTACATTGCAGTCCTCCCTCCCTTACCCATGCTCATCTGCTGTGTCAGAGGTAGGAGCAGTTCAGTGTGTTGAAAGTCCCTAATCTCGGAAAGGCTACTTTTCTGATTAGCCAGTTCCGAACTGGGGCTTTGGTTCTGGTCAGTATTTGTTGTAAGATCCACTTAAGAGTCAGTGCCCTGGTGGCTGCAGCCTGGAGCCATCGGGGTTAACCACATCAGGGAATGTGCAGCATGGGCACTGAGCCTTCAGGAGCCTCCCGCTTCTTAGCATGGGATGTTGAGAGTTTCTGTAAAGAACTGTGAGCTCAGTAAGTGAGATGAGATTTACTTACACAGTTAAATTAATTGTTTTAAGAAGAGGTGGTCCCAACTGCGTTCCAGGCTCACCCACAACACAACAAGTGGATGATAACAGTAGCTGGGCAAACAATCAAACAAGAAACACAGGGTAAGCAGCTCATTCATACAAAGTGGTGCCTTGTATTGTGAGGTGCAGTGACTTCAAAGGGAACTAGAAACATTGTTTCAAGTGCTCATTTGAGGAAAAAGTAATTTGGAAGTCTTCATGCCGGTGTGATGCTTTAGCCAGGACTAGCTTGATACTTGGATGTTTTCAACAGAGAATTACTAAGCAAGATGGGTGGTTGGTACTACCACTGAATACAGTGTCCGAAGGGCTGCTTCTGAAATCTCAGGATGCCATAGGATAGTAAAGCAGTTCCCAGGGAGGCACAAGAATGACCTGTATTCTGGGAGATTAAAGGAGCTCCATTTAGCTTATTGGAAAGAAGGTTAAGAGGCGATTTAATCACTGCCTATAAGTATTTACTCAAGGAGAAGATATCTGATAGTTGGGGGCTCTTTAATCTGACAGAGAAGTATATTAAGATTTAGCAGTTGGCAGTTGAAGTCTGAAAAGTTCAAGATAGGGAAAAAAACCCCGCACTTAGTTTAAGTGAGAATAATTAACCATTAGATGTGCATTACTACTGGACTATTAAAATTCTCCATCACTTAGAGTCTAATCAAAATGAAACAGCTCTCTGAATAGGCTTTAGAGTAACCACTTATTTTTTTGGGTAGAGATGCCTATTCCTCAGTACCGCTTTGCAACACATTAGAATTTGTCTGTTTCATCTTGTAATTTGCTAATGCTTTACTCCTGCTTCAAAGCATGGGTTAGTTTTTCATGAATTTCTAATAATTCTTAAAGGTCTGTTCTGCGTTAGTAGAAATAGAAGTCTCACAAATGGTACTGAGGGATCATAAGATAAATAGTCTGAGAGGTGCTGAATTAACTGATTGTATTCTTGTTACCTCTTTGCTCATGTTTCCCTAGCTTTTCGCTCCATAGGAGAGGGGAAGAATTCAATATCAATGTTTGAAGTCTGATAGCAGATAATGGCATAGATGGGTGGCTCTTGCACAGGAAAACTGTGTTTATGTTAGTGCACATCACTCGGTGAAAATATTAAAAGCACTATAGTGCTGGCAGGGAATGTGAAGGTACAATGCAGTCTACCTGTTTTATTAGGGTGTTCATATTTTTCCTTTTTATCCTTTCACAGAAGCAAATCCAGAGAAATTCAACAGCCGATTTAGAAATAAAATGTTTTATGCAGGGGTGAGTTGCAATTCATCTTACAGAATGATGCTAACTTAGTTATTTTAATGTTTTCTTAAGTACCTTCCCCTTCACTTTCTCACATCAGGAGTTCATGCCAGTTCATTTTGCCTGTTGCAATTTAAAGCGCACATGTACTGTTTCTGGCAATGCCACACACATGTGTCTGCTGGAAAGTGCCTGAAGCACTGTTTTACAGTGCTTAGCAGGTAAGAGAAATGCTCCTCCTTTGCACATAGTATTAGTCACATCTTGCCCCTGCTGCTTCTGCCTTATAAGTTTCTCAACAAACTGCTCTGCTTCTTTCAGGGTTTGGGCAGCACATTGATATTGACTTTCCTAGAGAAGTTCCCCAAGTGTTAGCCTGTATCTTTGTAGATTTGAGGAGCAATCTTGGATATAGGGTCATGGGGAGTGGAGGGCAGAGACTGGCTATCGGGAATGATTTATTTTTATACGTGAATATTCAAATGAAATTACCCACTTCTGCATTCAGGAGGTACATGGACAACACTTTATTCTAAAATGCGTTTATTAAGAGAAACACTAATTTGGTAATGCGTGACATATAATGTCTTTCTGGATGATGACGCCCACCATACCCATGTGCCTTAAACATGGAAACACATATGTGAGCAAGAATTTGCAGTTAAATCCTTGGGTGCCCAAGGACCTTCTTTGGTTAACCTCTCAAGAGGAGAAGTATTATGATTTTTTAAAAAAAAGTCATCTCTCCTGAGAGCAAGAAAGAACAGGTTTGACAAAAGGATGGCATACTGGTAATTAGCTCTGTGGTGGGATAAGAAATTAGGAAAGAGAAGAGAGGAAGCGCTGATGACAATTCCTGCACTTACTTCCATTGCAGGCAGCCTTTACAGACTTTCTGCAAAGAAGCTCAAGAGATTTATCCAAGCATGTCAAAGTTGTGGTAAGTATAAGAAATTGTGTCATAGTATTGTGGGAAGTGGGGGGGGGAATGGCAAAAGAGTGAGGTGAGAGTTTAATGGCTCTGTTACTTTTCAGTTTTGAGCATGACATTTGCAACACATTCCAAGGAAAGTCTTGGGAAAGTTGTTACAAAGCAGCAACACTTCTCTTGTCTGTGGCTCCATTCAGCAATTTCTCTGTGCTCTGTCACTTTGGCTTTGTAGTGTGATGGTACAGACCTGACTCCAAAGATCCAGGAGCTGAAGTTCCAGTGTATAGTGTTTTTAAACATACCCAGGTAAGCTCAAGACAAATGTTTGGAGTTACAAAAGGAAAAAAAAATAATACCTACAGGTTGTCCTAGGCTGGGTGGATGTGCAGAAAGAGTATTGCCACTCTGCTGCCTTCTTGAGAGCTGGGTGCTTATAATGCTGTTAATTAGCAATAGGGAATGGCATCTGAGTTCAGGGTGCAGCTAAACCATCCTTTAAAAAGTTGAATATCCTGATACAGAGATAGTAGAAATGATTAACAAATACACTTTCAAAAGTCATGCACCTGCAAACAAGATAGTAAAGACACAGATGCCTGGTCTTTCACTTAATTAGAAGCAGAGTGTGAAAAAAGAAGGGCGGGGGGAAGAAGGATCAATATTTTTCTGGTAAAGAAACACAAAACTGTTGAAAAAAAGTACTGTTTTTTGACATGTTAGAAGGTCTCCCAAACAGAAATACAGCTGTATTCTTAGAAGTTGTCTATCTCCTGCTCTCTAGAGCAGCAGTCTCCAAACTTTTTTTGACTGTGCATGCCTATCAGTAAAAAAATTTTTGAGCACCACCCCAATATATGTATAATTAGTCATGAATTAAATACTTGTACTACTGTGCTAATATATTACATATATTATAAAAGATATAAAAAATAGAACTTAAGAAAGGATGTGATAAAGATGAAAAAACCCACTATTTTTATTTTTTTTCCTTATTTATTAAAAGTACAAACAATATTTTCCTCACACACCCGAATTGTCTTGTCAGTTGTGGATTTTTCTTGCACACTCCCTGTGGTTCATGCACCCCACTTTGGAGACCACTGCTTTAGATAACCTACCACTTGGCTCCACATGCAGTCCCGAGCACTTGATTTTTTCAGTCCTGCACTGCAAGTGCAAGTACTGCAAGCTTTTACTTGGTGTCACCTCTCCAAAGTTCCCCCTTCTATCACTCTTATCACAATTTTACATCCCTTCTTCAATGGTAGGAAGGACAGAGGCCACAGCTGCATCTGTTCCTGCTTCTTATTTCTCCCTGCATCCTCAAGCTATGAAATGTTTTGCATTCCTTATGCTGTTACAGCTTCTGAGCCAGCAGTAGGGAGAAAGAAAATGGATCCCCAAGGCTAGAGCTGCTGCTGCAGCCCCATGCCTGCCGAGCAGAGGGGGTAAGCAGCTTTCTGGCTCCACAGCACATCTGCAGAAAGCAAAGCAAGTGGGGAGAACAAAGTGCTGCTGCTCTGTTATCTATTTCCTGGTGTTTCCCCATTTTCCTCTCGCAAAGGAACCTGCTAAAGATTATGATGGATCCATTTATGGATGGTGTGCCAGCTTGGAAACAAGAGACAAATTTTCCCTTTTGTCCAGTCCTTGCCAGCATAACTTTTAACTGTCCCCGAATTGAATTCTGGAATGGATATCTGGATACTTCTGGAGGGCAGCGGAACAGGCTAATAGTCAGGCTACTAGTCAGGACCCATCAAGGCAAACTGCTTTCTCAAACCTTGCTTTCCAAACCTCTTTCTGTAGGTATTGTGCTGGCACAATGCCCTGGGGAAACCCTGGAGATCACAGAGACTTTGAACCTCAGCGCCATGATGATGGCTACATTGAAGTCATTGGGTTCACCATGGCCTCACTGGTGAGTATAGTGCAGGTGTCGCCTTCCCCGCGGCTGCTACCGGACTTGGTGAATTCTGTGGGCAGCCTTACAGAGTGCAATGTTGTCCTCATTTTTGAAGAACCACCATGATTCCCCATATTCAGTCAGCTAAGGCCAAAACATGCTCTGCTATTAGGTTTTAAATGAGGGGGACAAACAGTAGTTTTCTAATAAATGAAGTGATGTTTAATAATAAAAATGTACTCCTTGCAAAATACGGCTAATTTGCATGTGCAGTGCTCCCAAATTAAATGACAAGATTCTTACAGTAGAAAAAGCATGCATGCATGTTTTTACTGTAGGAATGTTCTGTGGTCAAATAGTTACTGCTGTTTCTTTTTAGCGTTTGCGTAGGTCAATCTGTGGCATAAAAGTTCAAATTTTTTTGTAAAACTGGTTACTGGAAACAACTATGAAATATTATATAAAATCATATGCCCATACAGTTTCCATATGCCCACTAAAAAATGTTGTGAAAATTTAGTAATAGCTGTGGAAAACTTCGTAATATTTCTGGCACAAACGCAATCTCTTTTTGTTCTGCTAGGG